CTTTTGCTATTCCTTAGCTACATTTAAAATTATTTACATATTACATTTCATAAAAACTTTTAATAGAAAAAAATTTTTACTCCATAATATTACTACCTTTATTCTTATTTATTTGWCTTTAATTAATACAATCAATTTATAGCATTGGTTAGGTTAAATATATACCACACCCTGTGGAAATACTGAAAAAGAATTACCACAGCATCTCAATTCAAAAATGGGAAACAAAAAATAGGTATGGATAACATATATAAACATAATTTATAATATTTGTCAGAAACCTTAATAAGGCACCACCTAAAATATTTAAATATTTACTAAGGAGTATAGAGTAGTTAGAAATGTACCTATTATATGAAATAAACTTTTTTTATTTAAGTCCTTGTTAATCTTACTTCTTGCTATTTGATATTGGTCTTTTTTATAAAATAAAACAAAAGATTTTAATATGTAGGTAATACATTGAAACTACCCATGAACACTTTTAATGAGCGGGTACCTCTCAATTACACACAAATTTTCCGGTCTCAACATGACCCCATTGGAATCATTGAATTGCACACCACTAAAAAGCGGACCCCTCTCAATAACATATAGGGATAAYTTTTAGTAGTCCGACGATTCGAGAAATATACCGGGAAACAAAAATCTACTTATACACTACTTGTACACAGGTATGTCTTATATGCTATTTTTATATTACTAATAAAGACATTTATCTTTATAGTTTAATGAATACGATTAAGTACCTATGTACAATACTAAAGAACGATAGATAATGACAAAAATAGACATTATGCATTTCCTATTAACCCTTTCAGTCCCAAATTATGAAAAAGTCAAAAAAAAAATATTCAAATCAAGAAACCTCATTTGTAGGACATTGTAAATCCAATAAAAAAAGTTGGGGGCACTTTTACCCATTTTGACCAAAATGGGAGGGWTGTCCATTACAATGCACATTATGACTCGGTGAAAAAATATTACATGAGAATAAAATTATTAAGTTTGGAAATAAATTGTAATTAATCAATTCAAATAGACACATCAAGTACAAAATATTGGAAACATTTTTTTCATTATAACAAAAAACATAACAACAATATTTATAAATTTATATGTACAATGTATTTACTGTATCTACTGTTAGTACCTACTTACAATATACCTAATGATAACCTAACCTACCAAACATATTTTTAATAAAATATTTTTTTTTAAGTAAGTACAACTCAAATTTTTATTTTTATTCATTTTTCTCAATAGTGGACAATTTT